AATAGAGCTTTCTTTCATTGGTATTTGATTGCCTGTGCGGTTTTTTTATTTTTTGCGCTACAAAAAAAAAAAAAGCTAGACAATTTTGAGAAGAAAAAAAACAGTATTTTTGACTTTTTGCTATTAAACATGCCCAGTAAAAAAATGTAAAAAATCAAATTTCATCATAAATCTAGGCCAAAAATGTACTCTGCTACATGTCTTTGCTGAAAAAAAAAAAAAACCCAATATGTGCAAATTAATTGGTCTATGTGAAAGTTACAGCGTTTACAAATGGTGGTATATATACTGGAATTTATTTTTTCTATTTTTTTTTTTCAGCAACTTATAGGACTGTGGTGGGCATTCTGACACTGGGGGGAACTGATTTGGTGTCACTGACATCCCCAGTGACACCAATACATTGATTAGTGCTAAGAAAAAGCACTGACACTGTACTAATGGCACTGAGCAGGAAGGGCTAACATGTGGGGCGATCAAACAGTTGTGTGCGGTTTCAGTGCGCTGTGTGAGTGCTTTACAAAGTAAGCACACCGATTTGTATGGCTCAGCTATGCAGAGCCATACAAAGCAGTTTGCAGGAGCTGACAGGGGAGAGATCTGTGTTGTTTAAACACAGGTCTCCCCCCCATCGGAAATACTTGGTGATCACCAAGTGCTGGCGAGGAATCACCAGCTGGGACCTGGAGATTGAAAACCGAGGCCGCGAATGGCGGCGTGGGTAGGGCGCACGTGGCATGCAAGTGCCCCTTTCCACGGAACTGTAAAATCACGTATATATAGACATGTGATTTTGTGCACCCATGCCACCCTGTAGCAGTATTTCTGCTATAGGGTGGCGCGGAAGCGGTTAAAGTGGTAGTAAAATCATTTTTGTACCTACAGGTAAAAATAGAAGGCTACCTGTAGGTACAGTAAATATCTCCTAAACATGCACCATTTAGGAGATATTTACTTTAGCAGTGCAGGTGATGTCACCGACACGTGTACTGCCCTCTCAATGGATGGCTTGACGTCCACTGAGAGAGCTGTGCCACAGCCGAGGCATCAGCGTGTATGCACAGGAATGACATCATCGCAGCTCAGCCAGTCAAACGGCCACAGGAAGGAAGGCCGGGTGAAGATGGAAGCCCTGGGGAGCCGAGACAGTGCCCCACTGGAGGGCTTCGTTTTCAGGTAAATCTTTCATAATGTGCTAGTATACATCACACATGCTCTTAGCATGCAGGGAAATTATTTTTTGTTGTATTTTTTTGCAGTTTACTACTGCTTTGAACTAAGACTGGCCATACATTATATGATTTTCTTGAGAATTTTTCTTTAGATTTGCCAAAAACCAGGAGGTCAAACCTAAACAACACTTTCAATTGTATCCAGTTAGGCAGGCTCCTGCACTACATAGTTGAAAGTAAATCTAAAGGAAATTGGGCAGAAATTGCACAGAAAATTGTATAGTGTATGGCCAGCCTAATGCAGGCCATAGACGGGTTGAACATCGGCCGATATTTTGGCCGAAGGATAAAAAAAAAAAAAAAAAAAAAAAAAAAAAAAAAAAATCGGCTGAATTTCGCACCGTTAATGGGTTAATTGGTCGGCTATTTTTCAGGGTTTTGACACATTTTTTATCTGTGAAGTTTGAAAAAAAAAAAAAAAATCGGGCGATTTTGCCGATTGGCCGATTTTCCCGGCAATGATGAGCAAATCGGCTGATCTTTTTACCGATAAAAAATCTGCGCATGAGCCGTGGCCTGCAAGAAAAAGAAAAAAAAAAAGCAAAAGAAGAAGAAAAAGAAGAATTCCAGTCCGCTATTATATTTTACATTGCGGTTGCAAAAATGTATCTATTTGTATCCGAATAAAAAAACACCTGTATCCGAAATGGATACAAATAAATACAATGTTGCAACCACAATACTTTTTCATGTCCAATATAACAAACGGAGCTCTCTGCAGTGACAGAAGTAATTAAATCAGCCGATTTTTTTCACCGTTGGTGGTAACGTTGGCCTATTGAACGACCTCTTTTTTGATGTTTTTTTTTTTTAAAAACGGACGGTTTTCGACCCGTCTATGGCCTGCATAAGGCACTGACAAATGTGTACTCTGAGTAGGGACAGATTTCATACACATATACAGGCCATACATAGTTCGAATGCCAAACGATTTTTCGTCCGAAAATAGAAACCGTTGTTCACTCGGTAATCCGATGGCGCCATCAATGATTTCGAAAATCGGCCGACCAAGTCATAAAGTTCACCCCATATAACAGACAAAACTTCTGTCCCTTCCAGGTCACAGCTCATGCACATATTCTTTTTTGGAAAAATGATTGTACGATTTGACCATCATGGAGTTGAAAATCGGTAGTTTTTCATGAATTTTCCAACATGTCCGATCACCGAAAAGGGGAGGAACCATGAAAATCGGCCAGTGCCATTGATCCACTAACAGAGCAAAAATCAGACAATTATTCTTCGGTCCGATTTTTTTCGAACGGAAAATTGGTCGAATTTCGACCCATGTATGGCCGGCCATACAGGCATTTAACATAAAATACGTCTGTATTCTGGCAGCCGGGAGGCACAGGTGTGGAGTACAGCTGCCTGTACAAATTAACCGCTTCCCGACTACCCTACAGCAGAACCAGGGGCGGACTAACCATTTGGAAACTCGGGCACTGCCCAAGGGCCCGGGGTCAGTAGGGGGCCCCATGAGATGCCCCTGGTACCTTTTTCATAGGCTTTTTTGAGTTTGGGCAAGGACACAGGGGCCCCATGATCCCCTATTGCCCGGGGGCCCCATGAGTTGTCAGTCCGCCCCTGAGCGGAACTACTGCTACAGGGCAGGGCTGCACAAAAATGAATTTTCAGTTCCATGTAGGGAGCACATGCGCCGCCATTGGCAGCTACAGCTGTCGATCACCAGGTCCCGGCTGGAGATTCCCTGCTGGCACCCGGAGATCGCCAAGGAACATTGACAGGGGAGAAGTCTGTATCTAAACAATACAGATCTCTCCCGTCAATACCAGCATGGTGCTTTGTATTGCTCTGCATAGCATGCTCCTAGATTGTAAGCTCGAAAGAGCAGGGCCCTCGATCCCCTCATGTTTTGCATTGTATTGTTATTGTTCTGTCCCCCATTGTAATGTACAGCGCTGAGCGAACTATTGGCGCTTTATAAATACTGTATAATAATAATAGCATAGGCAGGGGCAGACTGACAACTCATGGGGCCCCCGGGCAATAGGGGATCATGGGGCCCCTGTGTCCTTGCCCCAAACTCAAAAAAGCCTATAAAAAAAAAAAAAAAAAAAAAAAAAAAAAAAAAAAAAGGTACCAGGGGCATCTCATGGGGCCCCCCTACTGACTCCGGGCCCTCGGGCAGTGCCCGAGTTTCCAAATGGTCAATCCGCCCCTGAGCATAGCAGAGCAATACAACACAGCATGTTTACACAGTAAAACACACACAGCACAGTTAATCCTTTGATCACCCCAGATGTTAACCCCTTCCTGCCCAGTGTCATTAGTACAGTGTTAGTGCTTTTTATTAGCACTGATCACTGTATTAGTGTCATTGGGATGTCAGGGGCACTTAGTCAGTTCCCCCCCAGTGTCAGAATGCCCGTCGCAGTCCCGCTATAAGTCGAGGATCGCCGCCATTACTAGTATAAAATAAATAAATAAATTCCAGTTTTTAAATGCTATAACTTTCACGTAAATCAATTCATTTACACGTATTGGGATTTTTTTTTTTTTTTTTAGCAAAGACGTGTAGCAGAATACATTTTGGCCTACATTTATGACGAGATTTGATTTTTACATTTTTTACTGAATATGTTTTATAGCAAAAAGTCAAAAATATTGTTTTTTTTTTTTCTTCAAAATTGTCGGTCTATTTTTGTTTATAGCGCAAAAAAAAAAATGGGTGATCAAATACCACCAAAAGAAAGCTCCATTTGTGGGGGAGGACATAAATTTCATTTGGGTGCAGCAGAGCATGACCGCGCAATGGTCGGTTAAAGTAACGCAGCGCCGTATCACAAAAAAAGGCCTGGGCAGGAAGGGGGGGGGGGGGGGGGGGGTAGTGGTTAAAGGGTTAGTTCGCCATTGCCAAAAAACTGCCTATGCTTTGAACAAAGTTAAATAAGGCCCTTGCTATAGGGGTAGCAGCAGGGGTGTACTGACCATTTGGGAACTCTGGCTCAGTAGGGGGCCCCATGAGATGCCTCTGGTACCTTTCATAGGCTTTTTTGGGTGTGCTTTGAGTGTAGGTGAGGATACAGGGGCCCCATGATCCCCTATTGCCCGGGGGCCCCATGAGGTATCAGTCCGCCCCTGGGGGTAAGCCATTTCCACACCTAATGAAACCTGGTTAATTATAGGATACGGCTGTATGCGGGTATACGCTCATAACTATATATACCCATACACCACCATACTTCGTAATTCATTTGTACAAGTGGCTGTACTCAACACCTAGGGTTCCCGGATTCCGAAATACGCCGTGAAGTCGCCATCTCTAATATTAAAGCTGGGTACAAGGGAAGTATACATATATATTTTTTTGTCCACAGGTGCTTTATTCCCCCTTACATCTTTACAAGGGCCTTAATGTAATAAGCGGCCCTTAAATATCACAGTCTACTTTCATGGCATAAAATGTGCCTTTTTATAAATAACATCTGTGTTTTTGTTAATCTGTATTCCTGCAGCAGAAAAGCAGCCATGTGAAATGTTAATTGCTGTCATAGAACTGCCACGTTCCTCAGACATGTATAGAGATAACAGGGTTAGGGGTGGGAGGTGTGAAAATCACTCATAAGCGGGAGCGCGCACACCAGCTCAATCTCGCGCATTCCTCCTCGTCACCAGTTCTCCCGCTCCCCTAGAAGGAGCGGCTCATGTAACAGCGCATGCGCGGTTCTATCTTTGCGGAGACCAGGACTAGTTTCAACTGTTAGCCCAACCAGATACGGTGCACGCTGTTCGCTCGGTACTCACTTGTGAAAGGAGATGGGTTTATCCTTGTCATAGCGGTTCTTACAGCCGTAGGCAGAACAGGATTGCACCATCGTTGCCCGCTCACTCCGCCTTGGTGTGTTTCTTCAGGAACGTTCCTAGGCGGGCTGCTGGTCTTTCACAGGGAAGTTACCGGAGCTTTCCAGACCTCCCCGTTTCGGTAGTACGGCGGACGAGGCGGTTTCAGACCTGCCGCTTGTATGATTATAACAATTTAAAAGAGCGCAAATTAATGAGTTGTTCTTCTCCCGAGTCCAAGATGGCCGACAGCGCTTCAATTGGCGTAACGTTTGTTAAATGAGCGCTCTTTGTGATTTGCTATCGTGGGTCATGTGACTATATTTGCATATGGCACGCCCAGTTCTTGCACTGCGTGCGTGATGTTTGCTGTATGAAGGGAAAACGCTTTGAATTGCTTTATATAAGGCGTGTGACCTATAAAGTTGTAGTTTTTGAATTAAAGCATAAAGCCAAAATGGAGCTTGTAGTTGAAGGGAAGCTGTAATGAGGCATTCTGCCTCTGTTAGCTGACATTTCTGACCACTCTGACAAATTCGCCTCCAGTCCACTGGCTTCCTTTTAACCACTTCTATTCTTGGCTGATTCTCACATTTTCTCATACATGTAAAATTTGTGGTTTTTTTTGTTTGAAAATTACTTAGAACCCCCCCCCCCCAAAAAAAAAAAAAAAAAAAAAAAAAAATATATATATATATATATATATATGTGTGTGTGTGTGTATATATATTTATATTAAGAAACCAGAGGCCCTGGTGAAAAATCTTGTTGCAATTTTTTATGTTGTACAATATTTGCAAAATATTCTGTGACTGCAAAATTTGCAGTTCACGAATTGTACATTTTTTGAAACAAATATTTATTTCAGGTACATATATAGTGCCATCAATTTACGCAGCACTTTACATATATATATTATGCATTCACATCAGTCCCTAACCCTCAAGGGGTGTACAATCTAAGGTCCCTAACTCACATTCATACATACACATACTAGGGCAATTTAGACAGGATCCAATTAACCTACCAGCATGTCTTTGGAGTGTGGGAGGAAACCAGAGTACCCGGAGGAAACCCACGCAGGCACAGGGAGAACATGCAAACTCCAGGCAGGTGGTGCCGTGGCTGGGATTTGAACCAACTACCCTAGTATTGCCAGGTGAAAGTGCTAACCATTTAGCCACTGTGCTGCCCAATAACCCATTAATGAATTTTAGTGTACACAAACACAATATAACACCCAATTCTTCTGTAAAATATAAAAGATGTTACGCTGAGTAAATAATGGAATGACAGACACTGTCATTTTCCTTTCCTGATGGGCTTCATGTCAGCACAACTGGGTAAGCCCCCCCCCCATGCTTCCAGGACCTAACTCCTAAATTTGAGCCCACTCAGTGTTCTGTAACTAGTCCTACCAAGCTGGGTGGGAATTGTGCTGACATGGAGCCTGTCAGGAAAGGAAAATTACAGTAAGTGTCTGTCATTCAATTTTCCATTTTTCTGACAGCTCCATGTCAGCACAGCTGGGAACTAGTTCGCCACACAGGGGAGGGATGATTATTATACAGAATTTATATAGCGCCAACGGTTTGCTCAGCGCTTTACATTATAGTGGGAGACTATACAGTTCGATACAAGAGGGATTTGAGGGCCCTGCTCCTTGGAGCTTACAATCTAGGAGGGCGGGGTGAATGGTACAGTAGGTAGTCACTGTGGGGGATGGAGTGGTTGGAAGAGTAGAAGATTACAGAATTAGCAGAGGGCGGGATAGGCTTCCCTGAAGAGATAGGTTTTCAGTGATCGCCGAAAGGCAAGTAGAGTAGGTGATAATCTGATAGATTGGGGTAGGGAGTTCCAGAGGATGGGTGACGCCCTGGAGAAGTCTTGGAGACGAGCATGGGAGGAGAAGATGAGGGAGCTAGAGAGTAGGAGGTCTTGCGAGGAGCGGAGTGTACGGTTTGGGTGATATTTAGAGATAAGATCGGTTATGTAAGTTGGGGCAGTGTTGTGGACGGCTTTATATGTCATTGTTTTAGAGTTTTGAATTTTATCCGTTGGGCAACTGGGAGCCAGTGGAGGGATTGGCAGAGAGGGGAGGCGGATACGGAACGGTTAGTGAGGTGGATGAGTCTGGCAGCAGTGTTCAGGATAGACTGGAGGGTGGATAGTCTACAATGAGGTAGGCCAATGAGGAGGGAGTTACAGTAGTCGAGATATGACAAGGGAGTGAATGAGTTGCTTAGTGGTTTCCGGGGTTAGGAATGGGTGTATCTTGGAGATGTTGCGGAGGTGAAGTCTACATGATTTTGTCAGCGATTGGATCTGAGGCTGGAAGGACAGATGGGAGTCTAGGATTACACCTAGTACCCTGGCATGAGGGGATGGACTGAGGATGGTGTTAGCCATATTTATGGTGAAGTCAGTGGGGGTGGCGCGGGCAGGGGGGAATACTAGGAGCTCAGTTTTGGAGATGATGCAACACACTCTTAAATTCTGCCCCAAAAAGCAGAAGCCAGGATCCCTCTGCCAAACTCAACTGTCACTAAGATTGCTTCTATACAATAATTAGTCATGAACGTATATATTGACCCCCATGTAGCTACCTTGCAGATAGTGTCTGTGAACACTCAGCCTGCTGCTGCTCACTAGGTTGAGACCTTTTGGGTGGACAGTAAAGTGATCCCCCTGGCACAGCCAACCCTTTCAACTTGTAGGCCAAGGAGATAAGCTACACCAACCAGGAGGCAATAATCTTGTTGGAAGCTGTAAAATCATTACACGCTCTGCCTGGAATGACAAACAAGTGCTTTGACTTCCTGATGCCAGATGTTATTATTATTATACAGGATTTATATAGCGCCAACAGTTTGCTCAGCGGTTTACAATATAACGGGAGACAATACAGCAACAATACAGTTCAATACAAGAGGGTTAGGAGGGCCCTGCTCCTTGGAGCTTATCTAAGAGATTGCTTTGATGTTAAATTTTAAAGCTTGACCCACATTTGATGGGCTAACTTCTTGGGTATTCCCCAAGAGGGATATAGGAAGGACAACGTTTCTTGTAATATGGACTCTGAAAGCCACTTAGGCACAATCTTGAGCATCAGCATGAGTAGCACCCTATCTAGGATGAAAGTAAGAAAGGGTTCTTTAAACCCCAGGGCTGCTAATATGGACACTCTTTTGGTTGATGTAATTGCCACCAGAACAGCAGTTTTCAGCGAGAGGTACTACAAGGGGACTTTGATTGAAGGCATCTGATGTAAATAGGTCCAAACACCAATGGGAGATCCCACTTCACAAACAATCCCTTAGGTAGGTGTCAACCAAGTTGTAGCTTGAAGGACAGTATAATTGAGTGTTGGATGCCCACTGTATACCGGTGAAGGCAGAGATAGCTGAAATGTGGGCCCATAGCATACTTATGCATAAACCTAAATCAAGCCCTGCCTACAGAAACTTCAGAATATGACAGACTTGTGAAGAGCCCAGTGTAAAATTTTGATCAGCAGCACTCCTGTGAATTTATGTCATATTCTACTATAGGCAGTGTTAGTGCTGTTCTTCTTTGCTTTCATAAGAGTATTCACAACCTTTACAGAGCACCCAAGATCTATTAGCCTCTGCCTCTCAAGACCCAAGCCATGAGCTTGAAGCTCTCAGGTGCTGATCGAATGGGACTTCGGAGAATCTGATCTTACAGGCAGAGGGAGTGGATCCTTGGCACTCATTAGGAGGGGCAGAGGGTACCAAGGCCTCTTCAACCAATCTGGGATGACCATCAGAATTATCACCTTCCCTTGTCACAGACTCAGCAGGAAGCTGAGAATCAAAGGGAGATTCAGAAATGCATAAGCTGTCCTGGAGATCCACTCTGCAATCAGCACCTCCACCCCAATTGCTTGTGGATGCTGGACCCTGCAATAGAAAGCAGCTTGATGTTGACTGGGGATGTGAACAGGTCTACCTCTGGAAGAGATTACGAAGCCCTTAGTTCTCGAAAGACTTGCAACAGTCTGGACCATTCATTGTCGTCCAGAATTGTCTTGGAGAGATTGTTTGCCTAAAGATTCTTCCATCCGGGCTCATAGGCAGCAGATAGTTGCAGGATATTGACTTAGGCCAACTCTAGAATCAGAGAAACCTCCTTCAGGAGGGAGACAATAAGTGCCCCCTTGTTTCTGTATGTAGGCCATAGTCGCTGTAACTTCACCAGGACAGGTCCACCCTGGATTAGGTCACTGAAGGCTAGGAGAGCCTGAAATTCCATCCTTAAGTCCTACTTTGCTGGTGTCTTACTGCACCTCCAGCCACAAGGTGATCAGATGGGAATGACATCACAGAAGAATCTGCTTCTCCAACCACAAGTTTTGGCTTGCTTTCATACAGGGTGTAATCCATATCTTCTAACCTAGGCCCTCCGACTGCTACCAGTCCACAAAATTGATAGGGGGTGAGAGCTCAACTGAGCCTACCTGGCCTGCTGAATCTGAGACATGAAGGATGAAAGATCTCCCAAATATGTTCTGAAATGCTTGCCTTGAGTGACCATGTGTCCGTCACCAAAGCTGTACCTATGTCTAAAGAGGAACCACCAAGTGCCCATAAGACATGTATGGATGGCACAATTCCCAAAATACCAGAAAGCATCCTGACATGAAGCTCTTCGCTGACTTCTTGGATTATGTGCTGGCTTTTTATTTGACTCCCAGCCAGAAATGCAGAAACTACTCTCTCTGGAGTGAGCGTAGAAACTGACTCTTGAACTTCAGTCTCCTTTATCTCAACAGATGTTCATCTTGAGGCAGGAAGCCAAACTGACCACTATTAACTCACCTACCAAGATCAAGAACAATGCAGTTATTGAGTACGTCCTTGAAGGCCACAGCCCTTTCCAATGGTAAAGTCATGTATCTGGCCAACCCCATAAGGGACACACAACCAAAGGAGTAATTCAAAACCCTTGACATCCTGCAGTGACAACATGCTCCAATCTTGTAGAACACGTACTTGATTCAGTCACCATACGG